TTCCAGTTCAGGATTTGTATCTCTAACCAGCTTCCTAGTTAAAGAAATGCTCTGAGGGCAGGTTTCTAGACAAGAGACAAAGAAGAGTTGTGGGTTTTACTTAAAATGCCTCTATCTTTTAGATAAATATGTCTGGAGTCCCTAAAGGAGCCCTGGTAGTGCAATGGTTAGCTTGACTGCTAACTGAGAGGTTAGCAGTTCAAACCTACTAGCAGCTCTGCGGTTGAAAAGACCTCGAAGGATTCTCCCTGTCAAAGCAGTTGCCTTTGAGTCAGAACTGGCTCCTAGCCGACCCTCCACCGGGTTTCTGAGGCTGTGAATCTCAGAGGAGGAAATAAATGGCCCCTCTTTCCGCATATGGGGCAGTTACACTCTAGCACTTTGGGTCTCTTGAGTCAGATTCAACTCAGCAGCACACGACAGGAGTGTTTTCACACATTTTTTTACAATAAGTTGCAGGATGTGTTTATTATAAGTGTAAAAGAAAAAGAAGAGAACTTCACAGTTTCAAAGGAATAAATAAATAACTTCGTAAATACCAAGGCATTCTGTCGATTCTCGTTCTCTGAGGCTAAACAAGCAGCTTCTGGGTGGGCATTTCTAGGAAGGATCCGTTAGGGAGTCCTGGTGGCCTGATCAGTAAAGAGCTGCGCTGCCAACTCCAAGGCAAGTGGCTCGAATCCACTAGCCCCTTGGTAGGAGAAAGTTGGGCAATCTCTTCCCTTGCAACAAGCTTCAGAGTCAGCCAGGAGTCTGCAAGTAGTCTGTTCAGAAAAGGAGAAGACGCAGTCCCTCTCTATTCCAGTAGATGGCAGCAAAGATCAACAAATGGCACAAAGGTAGTGTTTCTCCTTCAGAACCGGCCTGCGGATGGGGTGTTGGAATTGCCAGGTTTCATCGCAAAATTGTTAACATTTCTTTAACGGAAATAACAATATATGATTGATGCTACTACTACTAAGATTCTGGTTTCTATTTCCATATTGTGAAAAAATTGGAAAGGGTGAGTTTTCAAAGTAATGACAAGAATTGGACAGGACTTCGCCGTGAAGTAAGTAGCCTGATTCTGGCCCCGACATGTAGATGAACCTCAAATGTGGTCTTGGTCTGAGTTGAGGTCCCTGCGTTGCTCGAATGACTACTAAGGTAGGTTGGCCTGAGGAACCTACCCAGTGGTGTGGAAGCACGGCCTGGCAAACAACTTCCATAAGATCACAGCCTGTGGAGCTGAGGTCTGCAGCGCATCACGTGGGGGTCCACCATGGGCCAGAATTGGCCACGCAGCCATAAGTGAATAGGCCTGGAAGGTTCGATTATCAACCCCTTTGAAAACTATTTACCAACCCCCTCATGCATGGGCAAAGAACATGGGGATGAATGCCAAGGAAAAGAGATCTTGACAAATGGTCCCAATTTTCTGGCTGTGATTAAAATTTATTAGGCCAAGGAAGAGCTAATATGAAAGCCAGGGAATTAATCCTATAGACACTCAGCAATCATTAAGCAGTAGGAATCTGGACGTGAAGAGTTTGGGAAATGATGTGAGGCCGTTTTCTTTTCACTTAAATGCTCACTGTTGATGCCTACCTTATGGTTTACCAGGAGCCCTGTGAGTGAGTGCCTTATGTGCTGCCTTTGGTGGTTTGAATGCACCAACTGCGCTGTGGGCGAAAGGTGGGTCCTCTCCACCCACAAAAGTCTGCATCCTCAGAAACTTGATGGAGAGACTCCAGGAGTCAGGATCGAGACTCGAAGACAGGATGTTAGGTATATTACTAGTATTTTGCTGTCTTATCTATGAAAAAGAGGGCGCTCTGGTTGCACAGTCTGTAGGGAGCTGCGCTGCTCTCCCAAAGGCAGCCTCACCTTAGTGGCTTGAACCCACCTGCGGGCTCCAAGCGGAAAAAGAGGGCACCCCCCCCCATCCCGTGAGAATTACTGCCCAGAAACCCGCTGTAGGGTCAGCTGTGAGTTTGTTCTCAGTCGGTTGCAATGAATTTGATGGTTGGGTTTGTTGTTGTTGTTGTTGTTTTTATGTGAAAAATTATTGTCTTAAACAATAAACTTCTCAGGCAAAGTAAATGAAATTTCCTTTTAGAAATGCAATTTTTGGCATATCGATTGTAGACGATAATTTCTGTAGCACTTTGAACTGCTTTACTCTAGCCTCAGGGTGTCATCTGACCCTGGAAAGCCTGGGGGTATGCACCTCCCCACAACCCTAACCCCCATCATCATCATCATCATCATCTTAACTGCTATTGAAAAGCTTCCTACTCATGGCAACTCTGTACTGGGCTCCTGAGGTTGTAAATCTTAACAGGGAGACTGCCTATCTTGCTCCTGCGTAGGTGGATTCGAACCTGCGGAGAGGTGAGGCCTTTTGGGCGGCACTTAGGAAATATGTTGCTGGCGCTCCTCTCGATTCCTCGGCCTTTGATTACTCCTGCCTGATGGTACTCCTCGTCCCAGTCCGAGCCCCTCTTTGCTCGTCCAGGATAAACCTGGGCGAAGGACTCAGGGAAAAGCAGCAGTGACTAGAGTCAGTCGCTGAAGGTGTGCACGGTAGTATTTTCTAGAAAACAGTTTAGAACTTCAAAATGCATCTCTAAGCCAACGGATACTGTGATTAGAATCGCCTGGGGAGCTTTTGAACTGACTGACGCCACAAGTCTTTGGTTTATTTTTTGGAGACTCAATAAGATGGTAAGATTTCTGTAATGGTTATATAACCACATCTTTTATGAGCAGCTCACAGTACTTCACATGAGTTGGGCGGGTTGGTTTTGTGTTTGTGTGTGTTTTTTTTTAAGTAGATTTTTATATAAGACAATTTTATAGCTTTTACTCTGTCCAGATAAAAGAAGAAATTGGTTGACAAATAAAATAAAAATCCCTTGGCTATATTTGCAGAGGTCTAAATGGAACTACACAGAAATACGGGGAAAATTTTTAGGCGCTGTTTAGAGTTAAGGGGAGCTCTGGTGACTCAGTGGATAAGGAATATGTGCCGTTAACCCAAAGACATACAGTTCAAATCTCCTCCCGTGTAAGTCACAGCCTCTGAAAACTGACTAGCAAAGTCATTTCCAGTGTGTGCAACATTCTGCATGCAGAGTCAAGTAATATGCCTATGACTGCATCTCCTTTCTGTCTTGGCGTTTTGTTTTTCCTCATGGCTGTCCTTGTCTCTTTACTGGTAACTTAAGCAGATTAAGCTGAGGTCCTGGAGTCTGCCTTTTAACAAGGTCCCAGGTGATGTAGATATTGTTGGTCTGTAGAACACACCCTCAAGTAGCCAGGCTAGAAGCAAAAACTCTCTGGACTACTTATTAAAAAAGTAATCTCCCAACACCTAACCAAGCCCTCTTCCCTGAGCACAGGTAATGGTGATAAGAGTAAATTGGGAGGCTGGGGGCTTGACTTTCAGAACACCCTCAAGGCACCAGGTCTGTCCAGTAAAGAATGTGCTACCAAATCAAGCTGAAAGGCAAACTCTCAGCCTGGTACTTTGGAAGACAACTGTTTTGAAGCAACACATTGAAAAGCAACGGATGCACCAGCCAGGATACTCACCGCATTATCTCCAAGAGCAGTCTTCAGGCTTATCCTCACTTTGATGGACTGGTTAGTGTCATACTGGGTATTATTATTATTTTTGTCTTCATCTAATTAACAAGAAATGGAAGACTGCCAGTTATAGAGAGCAGATTGACCGTGTGTGTTTATATCTCCTTCCCCTGTAAAGATCCCTCTTGAGGGCTAATAAAGACATTCACCACAAAGTCGAAAGAAATACACTGAGCAGATGACAAATGATGGCAAAGCAGTAACTGCCTTCTTAGGGGATGGAGACCTGTGACCTAGCGTGTACACAGAGGTCTCGTGGACCCCACAAGAGCTGGGGAATCCAAAACAGACTTGGGGCTCAGGAATGGTAAGAAATGGGAAGAAAATGTCAATCTGAAAACAGTAGGACGATTGAAAACATCAATTCTTGCTTAGGAAATTCACTCAAGGGCTGTGCTCCCCAGTAAAAAAAGAAGAGGAAATCAAGAAAGCAGACTTGGAATCTAGGAAGGTGTAGCTCAACCCAGGGGAGCAGCAAAGGAAAGGACTCAGAATGCAAACTGGTTCACATGGAGGCTGGGGGATTTAAGGCTGAAAAGAACAGATATGTTGGAGTAGCAGGAAAACATAGGGCTGTGTAGATAGCAAAACAGAGACGTTAAAAATAGAGAGGCAGGGGAGCTCTGGTGGCCTAGTGGCAAGAAGCTGCACTGCAATCCCAGAGGTGCACGGTTCAAATCCACCAGATGCTCTGCCGGGAAAAGGAGGGACAGTCTCCTCCTGTACCAGTCAGATCCAATTTGGCGGTATACACACACACACACACACACACACACAAATAATAAAATAATAATTTTAAAAAATTTAAAAAAATTAAAAAAATAGGCAAGGACAAACTTGAGGAAAAACAGAAAGCCGAGGCAGAAAGGAGGTGAAATCATATGTATATTACAAGCAGAGTGTTGCACATACTGGAAACGACTTTGCTAAAAACAGTGGTAGGAGTTCATTGAGTGCATGAGAGAGTTGGAGCCTGCTAGAGATTTTGTTTGAAAGAGGAGGCCGACTGGAAAGGGAGTAAATAGGGGTGTGAAGTAACTTTCCCTGTATCAGGTACGCAGTGGGTGTTGAATAGAGGCTGTGTTCTCTCCTCCGTCAAATGGTGGTTTGCCACTGTAGTAGAGGGAGGGTGTGTTGATCTCGCTCATAGCCCCATCATGAGACAGTAGATTTGGGAGAAACAGAGAGTAACACAGGACATGTGAACACGTTTGTACCCACCTGGAGTCCAGGTGGTTTCCCAGCCGAGAGGAGAATCCTTGTTCTGCTCTTTGAGCCAGGTAAACAAGGGCTCAAAGTAGTTGAGCAGTGGGGTGACATTCATATTCTTAGCTCCCACAACACTCTCCAGTGCTGCAGTCCAGGGCTTGGATTTTCCAAGGCTCAACATCCCACTGTTCGAGAAAATGAAAAGAGGTGTTTAAGGCTATTTGAAAGATTGCTAGATCGACATCTATTCACATCTGTGATCTGCACTTCCTTCTTTTTTGACTTAAGCTTCGTGTCCTCCTAGCGGATAAAAAGATGAAGTGTGGTAACAGGTCTGTTTAGCCCTCACTCTCTCTGCCTTTGCAGTTACTACAAAGGGAACTCTGTAGTTATGGCCTTGGAGAGAGGGGATGGCTGGTCCAATCATTGGGCCACTGTGGCTCCCACTTGACCACAATGAAACATTTCATATGGGCAAGAGGATATTTCTCAGCCCCAGATTTTATTTTCAGAAAATACAGAATGACATTTAAGCTTGCTATTGTTGTTGTCATCGATGTTGTTGTTGGGTGTTGTCAAGCTGGCTCCCATGTGATGAACCCAGCAACCCTAAACAACAAGGAGTTCATGAGGTATTTCTTACAGCAGCTTGTTTCCTGCTTCGGTGGAATTTGAGATGTCACATTTGTACAGGGGACCCTCATGTTTAGCCACCTTACATAGGGCTTCTTGAAACTGAAACTGATAAATGGTCCTGGTGTAATATCTGTACAAGAGAAACAAAAAGAGAAGTCCTACATTTAGAATCATGAAATGAGGCAAAACCCTTCACATTTTACCATCCAAGTAACCAAAGGGAGTTAGGTCAAATCTCTCTCCAGAAAGAATCAGACACAAACCCTACGAGCTTGTTATGATTTGCCTGAATTTTATATACTTGTTATGTAACGTTAAATTAGAACCAACTCATATCTCAGCTTTTCAGAGGCTGTAAATCACACAGGAGACAGCCTATCTTTCTCCCGAGGAGCAGCTGGTGGATTCGAACTGTGTGCCTTTGAATTGGCAGCGCAGTTCCTTACCACTAGACCACCAGAACTTCCTACTATAATTTATATACTAGTAATAGACAATCTGTTACTACTAAATACTACCAGACTTTTGTAATTGTATTGATTTGTACTCCCTCTATATGAATAATTATTGATCCTTATAGCAGGACTATGATATTATTTCCATTTTACAAATAAAGAAGCTGAGACTAAGGAAACTTAAGGTCAGGGCACTGATAGGTGAGGCACATAGATTTTTTTTTTTTTTACTCCGAGTTATAACTTTGACAATATTCTTGCCATTACAGCTCTCTCGGAGCTCAGCCAGTAGTAATGAGAAACAACTAAAAGTTCGACTTTCTTCTTTCTCCCAGTGATACTGTTAACTCCTCAATGGGGTGAAAAGGTCTCACTCAAGTTTAATTTCTTTAATCCAATGATGATTGATGTTGAGTTAAAGTCTCTTTTGAGCATCTGGGGGTTGGGTGCAGAAACAGAGAAGTCACCCTCATCATTTCATCGCTCCCTATTACTTTGTTACTAGTGCAGGGGTTCACAAACCCTGGAAGTTAAACAATGAGAAGGAAAGTTGTTTACCGGATGAATGAGTAGTCATTGGCAACATGGAACAGAGTCGCGGGGTCACAGTACGATTCATCATGACGCACAGGCTCCTCTACCCCAACTATCTTTTGTCTTTGAGAAGAAAAGAAGACACATGAGCCATGAGAACTCCCAACATGAGGAGGGAGAGTTGGGTACAGTGCCTCCCAGCTCATCAGTCAGATGAGCTTCCTATTGGGCCTGGTTGGGATGGGACTAGAAAGAGCATAACTGGATTGGCACATGGCCTATGCCAACAGGCTGATGCACAGCTGAGCCCATGAGGATGGCACAGGGCAGAGCAGTGTTTCCTTCTGTCACACACGGGGTGGCTGGGAGTCAGAACCAGCCATATGTCATCCAACAACAAAATCCACTGTGTGCTTATCTCCCTCTCTTTTTTTAATATCCATAGCACTTTATTGCAGATCTGAGAGAAAGCAGTGAGATCCTTCTCAAAAACTGCCTCATCTCTTATTTTGAAAAATTCAGCCAGGACATACCATTGGAAAATAATTGTATCTTCCAAACAGAGTATGTGGGTGTCATGTGCTGTTGAGTTGGAACCACCTCATAGCTGACCTTCCAGAGATTTTCAGACCCTCTCAATCACACAGGAAGAAACTATCTTTTTCCCACAAAAACAGTAAGGCCTTTAAATACCATAAAATATGATTTATCAAGTGCTAAAAATATACTTGGAAATCTAATAATTACTCTCTGGCACCCACTGCGTGTATATGTGTGGTGAAAATCTATATGGCGAAATGTTTGCCATTTCAACATTTTCTTAACTTGCACAATTCAGTGACATTATTTGTCTATGCTCATCATGTGGTCGAACCACATTTTCTGTGCTCCTGAATGGCCACATTTTAAAAAGAAATGTACCAGAGAAAAATTTTTAAAATTTGAGTAAATTGATCACTGACTAATGTGCCAGTTTAACAGAGAACCTCACACATCAGAAAGTGGACAGTGAGTAGTGTTATCTGACTGAGCCTGCTTGAGGGGGTAGGAGCCCAGGAAATTTAGTCTGAACAAATGGTGCCCAAATGAAGAATTAAAAAACCAAACTGGTAGCAGGTTGTATGTGCACACATGCATGCATGTGTGGGTTGATAGCAATGTCCGAGCCTGAACACCTTTGTCTTTTCTATATACTTAACCCTCTGTCACCAGCCGTTGAGATTAAGCCACTGACATAAGAGTTAGTTGGGCTGTAAAACATTCTGCACAAAATCAACTCTGTTTTCAATTGGTTTCTCTCAAAAGCAGACTCTTTGACCAGGTCCTGAGAGATGATCTTATTAAATACCATCAAAGGAACTTTGGTTCCAGCAAACGAGACAGATAAAAGAAAGCAACCCCCCCCATTTCCAAACCCCCCAAAAGGTGTGGTCTCAAGCACATTACCATATGTGTTAGTGTAGAGCATTTGCCCCAGTTAATCTACCTGAATGGGAGGGAATTTAAGTATTTCTCCACCAGCACTCATGAGCCATTGGCTGAGAGCTGATGGGATGGGAACAGCTTTAGACCCTCACCCCTTCCTGCCATGTAAGGGGTCTGATGACCACAGGAAGCCCTCAGGCCATGGACTATAGCTACCAGTAGTCTCTATGTGGGTATGTGTGCATGTCCCCCAAAGGCAGCCAGATGCTTTTATACTTTAGAAAAGTCCCGAGAAAACGTTGTACCCATTTCATACACTATGACTTACTTCATCTCCCACCACTTTTTCGTCCACTCTTCTTTGGGAATTTCACCCTTAAAGACCATCCACCTCCACTTTTCCAACATGTAAGTGAAGGGCATTGTTCCAACAATCGTGAGCGCCTGCTTGAGTAGGAAGTTCAGATTTGTTTCTGAAATGGCAAGGAGAAACATTCTGATGAGGATGATGACTTTTTTGTCAGAATGAATTTTCTTTATCTCAAGATGTTATTCCTCAAGATCTCTGTAAGAATGCCTACATGAGACATGATTGACTGGGGCCGATACATATACGCTCACAGCATTCACACGTCAAAGGCAGAGCAAAGGAGAAACAGCTTTTTCAAACGAGTGCTCTAATGTCTAGCACCATGTTAGGGACCCTGGTGCCACAGTGAGTTAAATATTGTGCTGCTAACCAAAAAGTTAGCAGTTCAAATCCACCAGCTTCCAGGGAGAAAGATGAAACAGTGTGCTCCCATTCAGATTCACAGTCTGAGAAACTGCAGCGAAGGGGCCATGATGCCAAATGCACTCAATGGCAGTGACTTTGCTTCAGTTGCTATTTTCCTTTTAGTACCGTGGCAATTAAGCCATCTTTGCCTGCTTGCAAGTTTTCAGAGGCTGTAAACTGCATGGGAGGAGATTGTCCATTTTTCTCTGGTGAAGCAGCTGGTGGATATGAACTTTGGGTGAGCAGTGCAACTCTCTATAGCCACCTTCTATATCCGGTCAATTCTTTTTCTAGATCTTTCTTGCTAGAAAGTGTCCACACATTGACGAACCAGTTGTAACAATACTGTTTGGATAAATACCTATTTTTAAAGAATGCCCACTTGTCAGGTAATGCTGGACTTTGCTCAACGCCACGGGGGGAGTTTCTGTTTCAGTGCTGCTTCTGGTCCTGCCATTACAGTGCTTTGTGACCTTCGACCAGTTATTCTGGCTCCTCTATCTTCAGTCTATACCCCCTATATTTTTTTTTACAGTCTATGCCAACATTTCTAGGAAGTTTTCATTCTTTTTTTTCTTTTTAAGCCTAAAACCAGAGAGATCTAACACTAATTTGCTGGGGGACCTTGGATAAGCCACTTCAGTTTTGTGGCCCCGCTTCAGCATCATTTAAAAAACCAAACTTGTGTTACATTTTTCTTAGAGAGAACCCCACACACATTCATTCAGCTATCACTCTTATTCCCCTTTCAAAGATGCAAACCCACAAAGTGGTATATTCTGATATTTTTTTTTTTTAACTAGGAGCAATTCCCCACCCAGTAACTCATACTTGAATAGACTTGAACTTTGTGTAGGATTCCCAAGGCTGTAGTCTCTATAAATAGAGATTGCCACATCTTTCTCCCATCAAGTGACTGTTGAGTTCAAACTACTAACCTTTAACCATCAATCAGCAGCCAGACCATTGACCACTGTACCGCCGAGCTCCTAGCAGTTCCCAGATACCTATAAAACACCTTCTAGCTGATGTGACCAAAAGTCAGAATCTCCTATGCTTGGTCGTAAAAACGTGTGCCCCCCTCACACTTGACACAAGTCGTGAAAGAATTCCTACCATTGTCCTCTTGAAAATCAGGTGGCAGAAGGCCGATGCCTTTCAGATGCTCAGGTGTGGCAGCAGAGAGTGACATGATTTCTCCAACGGCCTCATGGAACCCCTCGTTAGCGCCATTTCGTTGCAGGTAGGGCTGTTTAGCATAAGCCATGTCATACTGGATGTGGCCCATCTCGTGATGGGCAGTCAGGAAGTCATCCATTGTCACCTTGGTGCACATCTTGATCCTGCAAGTAAACAGCCAGGATGAAAACCAACCCCTTCCAGCCCCACTCAGTCATCACAGGAGGATTTTATGGGGCTTTGGTAGCACGGAGCATCTTTCTCTCTCTCTCTCTCTCTCTCTCTCTCTGTGTTGTCAAATCGGATCTGATTGGTATAGAAGGAGATTGTCCCTCCTTCTCCAACAGAGCATCTGGTGGATTCAAACTACACACCTCTGGAACTGCACTGCAGCTTCTTGCCACTAGGCCACCAGAGCTGGCCATGGAGCATCTTTCCAGGACTTAGTCACCTTGAGTTTTTTGGAAAGAACTGTATTTTTTAATTAAACTACTCAATGATTTAATTAATTGTTTAACAATTTTAATGTCACCGTTACTAACATTTTCTTTAAAATGCTGATATTGAGAAATGACAATTTACTCTTTGCTTTTTTAATTTTAGTGGACACTGTAGGAAAGAGAATTTTGAAGTACATTACTTTTTCTATTGCCTGTATTCATTTTAGTATACAGAGAATTATACGTTTAGTATAATTATATTTTCTTTTTATTTTATTGTAATGAACATTTACAGAGATTTTGAATTTCCATTAATTCATTGTTGTACTTTTCTCCCTGCCCACCCCTCCCCTTCAGTTCACTCTTCTCTTTGAAAAGAAAAAAGAAAAATTCCTTCATTGGTATACAATCCCCCCCATCCCTCCACCCTGTGCCCCGCCCTGAGTGCACTTCACTAGGCAGCCTTCATTCTGGACACCCAATTATATATCACTTTTAATCTGTTCTTTCCCTCATCTGTTTCAATACAGTGTATGTTATGTATCCAGTTTTTCTCTCTTACCCCAACCCTGATGTCAGTCTTATTCTACAACAGTAGCACTATGCAGTATTTGTCCTTTTGTGACTGAGATATTTCACTCAGCATAAGGTCCTCCAGGGTCATCCATTGTGAATAATATTGCATGAGTTCCTTGTTTTTCAATGTAGCATAGTATTCCATTGTGTGAATATACCACAGCTTATCTATCCATTCGTTTGTTCATGGGCACTTGGGTTGCTTCCATCTCCTTACTATTGTGAACAAAGCCGTGGTAAACATGGGTGTGCATATTTCTGTTTGGATGTCAGTTATGGTATCTTTGGGGTATATTCCCAGTAGTGGAATTACTGGGTCAAATGGTATTTCTGTTTGCAACTTTTTGAGAAAGCGCCACACTGCTTTCCACAATGGTTGCATCATTTTACATTTCCACCAACAGTGAATAAGGGTTCCAGTTTCTCCACAACCTCACCAGCATTTGATGTTTTCTGTTCTGTTAAATTTTGCTATTCTGACAGGGTGAGATGATATATCATAGTTGTTTTGATTATATTTTCTTTTTTATTCTTTTAGATCATTGCTGAAATTCATGATTATAATGAGTTATTTTGCTAAAATGAAGGTAAGTAAAACAAATTTCCTGGAATATTATTTTTCATCTAAACATCAACCCATCACCATGTGCAGTACAAATTACATTTAGTCATCTATGCTATTTTACCAGCTTTGCCATATAAAAAGCATTGTTTTGGGCCTGGAAATGTAGCTCAATGGTAGAGCAGTGTCTCATGAACGATGGATCCCAGGTTTGGGTTTCATTCCTGGTCCCAGATAAAAGCATTATTTTAAGTCTTTTATTCTGCCATTTTGAAACTATTATTTATCAATGTAAGAAGAGAAAGTACACTCTAACTATTATCTTGATTTATAGTCTTTTGAAATATTCAAACACTTGGAATGTCCCTGCATTTATATGCTTGCTCTGAATATAGTGAATCACTGTGAATTAGATACTTCACACCAATCCATCAGAATTAAGAGCAAAACTGCTTGGCACCTTTACAGTTGAAACTCCTGCAATCATTCTGAAACAAGGAATTCCCTTTTAATAATGAAACTATTCATGAGAATTGCCCATTTGTAACATCCCATCTTATGGTGGATGGTCAGACAGTAACAGATGCAACTTTACAAAGGAATGTCTCTGTTCTATGCACGAAACATTGTATATTACAAAGAAACCATTAAAAGAAATCTGGAGAAAGAAACTAGACATATTGATGGAGACATTTTAGCTGCTGTTGAAAGGACCATGTTAATAGGCACCCAAAAGATAGAATGGTGAGATTATTGTCAGAAATTTTCACTCTGTATGGACATTTTGATTTGTTTGTGTATAGGTCTGTGTATCTTTCCATAATAGTAGTAACTTTTCATTTTCCATAGAGTCTAAGGTGTGGATATTAGGCATATCATTTAATCTATCTTAATTATAGCCAGGGAACAGAGAAGTGGGTTACTACTAAGGCTTAGAAATAAGGTGGAAGATGATGAGTAGAATCACCATATTTGATGTGTGATTTTGATCTAGAAAAGCTTTTTGGTTGGCCATGTTTTCTTTTCTTTTAGGATTTTGTATATGCCATCCCATCACCATCTTTCCTGCACAGTTTCTGCTAAGAAATCACAGTTAAGTCTTATCTGTTATTTGTGTAGGTTACTTTTCATTTTCCTTAAGCTGCTTGCAAGATCCTTTCTCTTGCTTTTGGAAAGTTTGACCATGATACATGTCTTGGTAACTTTCCTTTGGCATTTATCCTATTTGAAGTTCGTTGAGCTTCCTGAATTCATGTCTTCATTTTTGTGAATTCTCTTTACGTTTTTATTGTGAGTTGAGTGGAGATTTACAAAGCAATTTGATTTTTCATTCAACTATTCATACACATTTTGTTCCGTAACATTAATTTCGGTACTTACACTCTAATTGCTCTTTTCCTACATCCTCCCTGCAATTCTGATTTCTGTTAACCCTTCTATAGCCGTCTGTGTCTTCTCTTTCTTTCGTGATATTGTATCAATCATATTCTGACTTGATATTGCCCTTTTCTTCATCCATATTAATCTATGCCTATTATTGGTTTGCTAATTTTTACTCCCCCTCCCTTCTTTCCCATCCTTGATAACTATCCAACAGTGATTCTATCTGTGTGTGAACCTTTCCTTAGTTTTTTTAATCACTCACATTGTCATGCATTGCCGTCAAGTCAGAACTAACTCAGAACTGACACTCCAGGATGTTTCTGAGCCTGTAAATTGCATAGTCCATCTTGCTTCCTCAGAACCACTGGTGGATTTGAACCACCAGAGTGACTCAGCTCTCCCTCAGCAGTGCAACTCCTTATGGACCAGAGGTCCCTAGGAACTTTTGTAATAGTGGCTTTATTGCATAGTAGTCCTCTGTGACTGATTAGTATCATTCAGCATGGCTTTCTCTAGATTTATTCATGTTGTACAGTGTTTCATGACTTCTTTATCATGTCTTCCTGTTGCATTATACTCCCTTGGGTGAATGTACCATAATTTCTTTAGCTATTCATCTGTTGATGACACTTGGGTTGTTTCTGTCTCTTTACTATTATAGATAATGCTGCAGTAAATGTGGGTGTGTGAGTCTGTCAGTTTGTGTTGCAGCTCCTATTTCTTTGGGATATAATCCTAGCAGTGGGATTGCTGGATCAAATGGTACTTCTGTTCTTAACTTTCAAAGGAAGTGCCAGTCAGATGCTTCTGTCATAAGTGTTAAGAGCCAACTGCTATTCATTTCTCTGCCCTTGGCCAAGTAGGAGATGATTTGACCAGAAAGAAGGATTAGTTCCCTCACACTCAGGGGCAGTTCACAGCCAGTGACTGATTAAGATGGGGGCTCAAGGGTTAGTCCCCTTGCTACCAGGTGAGATCAGTCACTCTCGAAAGTGTCCTTTGGGGTTGGGTGGAAGCAGGTCTCCAGCTAATACCACTCACTTCTCAGCTCCTCTCACTGTCCCAGCCTGCTTCCTTTACCCCCTTAGCTGAGAGCACTCCCCCAAAGAAGCATTTCACAGAAGTCTAACTGAAGAGAAAAAAGACTCAGAGAACTGCCACCTACACTTGCCATGGGTCAGAATTGACTCAGTGGCAGTTAGCATGGATTGGCCTCTGCTTTTATATGGAAGGAAATTGAAAGCTAAGGTTAAACACTAGCCCAATGTTGTTGCTGTTCTTGTGGTTAGGAGCGATCTGGTCAACTGCAGTTCATAGTGACCCTGTGTATAGAAGCACGCCCTGTCCGTTCCACCTGCACGATCTCTGCTGTGCTGAAGCCCATTGTCATAGTCACTGTAGCAGTCCGTCTTGTTGAGGGTCTTCCTCTCCTCGTTGACCTTCCACTTTTCTAGGCATGATGTCCATATCTAGTGACTGGTCTCTTCTGATAGCGTGCTCCAAGTAAATAAGATGAAGTCGCACCATCCTTGTTACTAAGGAACACTCTGGTTGTCCCACCAGGACAAGGTCTTTGGTTCTTTCAGCAATGCATGGTGGTGGTGGTTGTTGTGGATTGTCTTCAAGTTGAGCATGACTAATAGTGACCCTATGAACAAAAGGCCTGAAGCCCCTCAACAACCATTGACATTTATCAAAGTTCATAAAGTTTCCAGAGGCATGTTGTTTAGGAAGTGGATGCCACTTTTGTTTCCAAACCTGTGATAGAATGTTATTGAGCGAGTCACCTGCAATGCATAGCGACCCTGAGTACAGCATCTCTGAACCCTTCCCTGTCCTGAGCCAGTGTCACTAATTCTGACACAACAACCCCCATTGCCCCAGTTACTGTATCAATCCATCTCATCCGGCATCTCTCTCTCCTGCATTGTTCCTCCACCCTTCCAAGCATGATGTTGTTCTCCAAGGACTGAACTCTCCTGGCCATGTGCCCAAAGTATGTGAGACAGAGCTTCAAAATCCTAGCCTCCAAGGAGAGACTTGTTTTCACCCTCTCCAAGACAGACCTATTTGTTTTCTTGGCGGTCCATGGTATGTTCAAGACTCTTCTCCGGCCCCACAATTCAAAGGCATCAATTCTTCTTCTGTCATCCTTAGTCATTGTCCACCTTTCTGAATCATAACAAGTAATAGAGAAAACCATGACCTGGATTAGGTGCACCTTTGTCTCTAGACTGACATTGTTGCTGTTCACCACTCTGGAGAGGTCCTTGGCAGCAGATATTCCCAGTGCAATTTGTCTTTTGACTTCCTGACTGCTAATGTTAAGAGTGTTGATTGTGGAGCTGAGCAAGCTGTAATTGCTAACAACGTCAGTCTCTTCTCCTTCTACTATGGTGCTGCCAATTGATCCAGTGGTGAGAATCTTTGTATTCTTGATGTTGATCTTCAATCCATATTTAAGACTACCTTTTGCAGCAAGTGCTTTAAGTCTTCTTCAGTTTCAGCAAGCAAGGTATATTCCGTATTCTTTGCCAACATCACAAGTCAAAGGCTGAACATTGCATAGTCATTACATGATGCATCTGGGATTTCAAAGCCTTTTCCCATTCAGCCAAGCATCTTGGGCTCTTTGCCCTCTTATGCCCATCATTCTAGCCTGACTTGCTGGTGCTAGTACCCACCCAGGTCCAATCCAGCCTTTCCACATTGGAGTGTTTGGTTCTCTCAGTCCTGTGTCCCACTTCTGTTTCTGTCTGCTCAAACTCTTCTCCTCTCAAACTCAGTTAAAATCTGATCCTATTCTCTATTTCATATCTTGTCACTTCTCTCCAGTTCCCCGTAACATGTTACGTGTCCAACTCTTCTGAAGTGTACCATTTTCTCCCAGCTACTTTACTCACCTGTCCCATCTCCTTCTCATAAGGAAGATGTGGAGGGGAGGATCATGGTCTGATTTACACACCCGTCTTCCATAAAGCGAACCTTTCCAGATGTGGACACCAACATACCACCCACGACTATGAAGCTGTGACAAATGGTTGTCACTTCAAAATGATTGGGATTATTTAAAGGTTTAAAGCAGAGCCAGTTAATTGGTCCCCTTGTTAGTGTGTAAGGAAGGAAGGGCCACACTACCTGAAGTCACCTTTCCCCAGGTCCCAGGCTGTGGGATGACAGACCACTTTCCGGCCGTCGCCTGGATCAGTTAGCATGGAATTATCCCAGAATCCTTGAGTCATATTAGGGAGGCCAATAGAAACAAAGAACTTCTCAGCCTCCCGGAATATCCTTGTTGCATTCCAGTTCTGGGGAAAAAAGGAAGAGTATTGGATTCCAGCATTAAAATAACAGCATTTTTTCTGATGAATTGTCATTAGTATAAACTTCCTGGAAAGCAGTTTGGCAGCATACATGGACGACTTTCAGACTGTTTCTGCTCCTTATCTCAGTAACCCTGTTTCTAGGACTTGAATCTAAGAAATCATCAGAAATTAAGAATTGTACTTTAAGTGGTGATTATTATTAGAGGGGGGGGAATTGGACACAGCCACTTGAAGGGTTCAAGAAATAACGATACTCTTATAAAGTGGGAAGGAGACTTGGTAGCATAATATGTGGAGCTGCTAACCAAAAGATCGGTAGTTCGAATTCACTAGTCACCCCTCGGGGGAAAGATGAGTGTTCTCCTTGTGAAAAGATTTACAGCCTCAGAAACCCAATAGGAGATGGCTATGAGTTTGAATTAACTCAATAGTCATGAGTTTGGTTTTTGCAATAGAGTAGAAGGAGCCCTGGTGGTGCAGTGCTTAAACACTCAGCTGCTAATAGAAAGGTTGGCGTTTCAAATCCACCAGCTGCTCTGTAGGACAAGATTTGTCAGTTTTCCTTCTGTAAAAATGTGCAGCCATGGAGAATTTGCCAGTGGTCCAGCTCTGTCCTATAGAGCTGCTATGAGTCAGAATTAACGTGGTGGCAACGGGTTTGGTCTGATTTGGTTTATACAGCAGGAAATGGTGCCACATGAAAATTGGATTTCTAAGAAACGGATGTGATAAAATATTTGCAATTTAATAGTATGTGAAGAAGTCGAATTAATAAGCTGCTTATGGAGTTTAATGTCATTTATGTAGAATAATCCTAATGAGAAAATACGTAGAAAATATAATCCAATAGCCTGCATGGGATTATGTATGATTTGTTGTTATATTTTACATTCTAAGGATGAACATAAATAATGATGATCTGTTTACCATGGCAAGTAAAACATAAACATTCATTTACAGAAGAACATTCAAGACAGTTCAAGTCCACTGTCATTGTTTGTGCTCTTGCAAAGAGATACTAGCAATGAAGAAAACGTGGGTGCACAGGTGCTGGGAATCAAAATGACCAGAAGAGGACCAGCAGCCAATTGGCAGTTGGGCCTTTGTATCACCGTTATGTGTGGGACCCTCAACTTTTAGAATGCTTTGGAGTTGGGGTGAAGCATCAGTCCCCCTCTACTCCCAGCATACACTGTTGGAACCACTGCTCAGGAAATAAGGCCTACATTGGGCATGTTGAGTTTGTACCATGGGCAGATAATTTATGAATCACTTATTCTGACACAGAAAACTTCCTTTGAGCTCAAAGACCAATAAGTCTTGTTTTTTCCCTATGATATCCCTTGAGGATAAAAAAAAAATATGACATGAAGCTATGGGCAGGGAGGTGGGGGTGGGGGTGGTGCTGGTCGTGATACACATGGCATTCTTAAGTAAAATGAATGTATATGAAAACAGAGCTGACAAGAAGCATTTCAGGTCGAAAGGAGGGAAATGCGAGGTAGAATTTCAAAATTTCATGGACCCATTATTTCTGGAGTGACTGAGGCCAGATTAGCCTCAGAAACTATTGCTCTGGGACATTTTTAAAACCTTATGCCAAAATTATCCTCAGAAAGCTTCTTTAAACCAAACAATAGTTTATGTTAATTAGTAAGCAGTGTCTGCACTGAGCTCTTTTAAAGAATGATTTTTTTTTTAAATTTTATACTGGTCTAATTACAAAGTTCATATACATTGTTTTTCATACCGGATCTTTCTTTATGTGGGATAAAAGTGAAACTTGAAAGGTTAGATAAACTTGGAAGAAGTAAGTTTATGTTAATGGAAGCATAGTTTGGAAAGGGACAGTGAGAATGGTTGCACAACTTGAAGGATGTGGTCAGCATCACTGAATTTTATGTATAGACATTCTTGAATTGGTGTTTTGCTGTGCATATTTTTACAAAAACAAAAAGTAAATTTTAACAAATTCTTTACATGGAAACATCAATGAGTTAAGAGTTTGAAACATATTCTCATAAATTATCAATACCAAAAGCAAATTGCTACCAACAATGCTAAAAGAATATTGAATGAGGAATGAATGAATGAATGAATGAATAGAAAACTAGACTGGGAATATCCAGAGTTCCAAGTTTAGACCTTAGTTGTCCCTAACTCTGTGACTTTGAGTAACTCGAATACCTGAACCTACCTTTCCCCATATACAGCAATGAATTACCACAGTGCTTATCTCAGTAGTCTCATAGGCTTGTTGTAAGGATCGCTTTAGGAGATATTGTGTGAAAACACTTAGGGATGGTGCAACCACTGTGGAAGGCATGGTATGGTGCTTTCTCAAAAAGTTGCAAATAGAGATACCATTCGACCCAGCAATTCCGCTACTGGGAATATACCCCAAAGAGTCCATAACTGCCACTCAGGCAGATACAGGCACACCCATGTTTATTGCAGCTTTGTTCACAGTAGCAAGGAGTTGGAAACAACCCAAGTGCCCATCAACAAACGAATGGATAGAGAAGCTGTGGTGTATTCACACAATGGAATACTACGCTGCATTGAAAGACAAGGAACTCATGCAATATTATTCAAAATGGGTGAGCCTGAAGGACATTATGCTGAGTGAAGTATCTCCATCACAAAAGGACAAATACTGCATGGTGCCACTGTTGTAAAACAGGACTGACCTTGGGGATGGGGGGGGAGACTGAGAAAGATGGGTTCAATAATGTATACTGCACTGAAACAGAGGAGGGAGAAAACTGTTTAAGTGGGATAGTTGATTAGGTATTTTTGTCATGACAGGAGTCCAGAGCGAAGGCTGCATAGTGGAGTGGACCTGGGGGAGGATTTGTAAAACAACGAAAGAATTTTACTTTTCCAAGAGTGTAGTGTACTAGGGGGGAGGGTTGGGAGGGGAGAAAAGTGCAACAATGAATGAATGGAAATCCAAAGTCTCGGTAAGTTTTCATTGAAATTAATAATAAATTTTTTTAAAAAGCCACTTAGGGAACTACAGAAGGGTAGGCATCTACCACTGCTCAGCTGTGAGATGGGGAGGGCACAGACTCGTGCCTGCCTCACCCTCTCATTGTGTAAAGCTGGACTCAATTAGAATAAACCTGTGTGGCTTTACGTTTTTTATCTTCAGTGGAAATTTCCCAAGAATGTGTTATGAGTTAGAGATGTTCATTGCAATGGCACCTACAGATTAATGAGCAAAATTGCATCAGTGCAGACACAAGTAAATTAGGGTGCAACCACTAATGTGTATATTGCTAATAAAAGAATGATTAGAAAGTATACAGAGAAAGGTAGAACTTTAGTTGAATTCATGAAAGTAAATAACTATACCAAGATAGTAAAATAATTATTTAAAAAATAATTATAAAGACTCAGAATATTTTCAACAACAATGACCTTTTTCTTTTGAGTCAAAGTTTACAAATCCTATTGAGTTTTCATCCAATCATTTATAGGCATTTTCTTTTACAACATTAATTACAACTGATTTATAGAATTAATTACAATTTATTTCTAGAATTAATTATAATAACTTGTAAAATTCTGAGTGTATATTGGTTTTCCTTCCACTCCGCTTAGGTCTTTATTAAATTTTGCTTCCCTCTTTTTCTTAGTTCACCTGTTGGCCCTCCGTAATTGATCCTATCTGTATGTAAGCCTTTCTTTTGCTTTTTCTACAAGTTGGGGAGAGAAATACCATTTAATTCAGAAATCTCCCAACTAAGTATATATCCCTCCCAAAGAAATAAGAGCTGCAGCAAAAAGGACCTTTTAGAAATGTGCAAAAATCTTCTAATGTGATACTTGGGGTTGTTTTGGAGGTTTTTTGTTTATTTATCTGTTTTATTATTCACAGAGATCATTGATTGATGACTTAACAGTTACTACCTTTGGAAAGAATGATGTCAACTAGGAGTTTATTCTACAGCTTCCTGATTACTGGGAGTTTCAGGGCATCTTCATTTTGAATATCCCTCAAAAAGATTGGCACCTGACTTTATAAAGGTTTTTTTAAAAGTTTTTTTTGAAAAGGTTGGTCTCTGACTTTATAAGCCACTTTTTCATGAAAAGACAGCTATACAAGAAAAAGAAACTTAAATGACCTTGAAATTTTTTTTTGTTTATATGACTTTGTATACTAAAAGATATAAGGCAGCTGGCAAAAAAGGAAATGAAGTTGAAAACGAAATTTTGGTGGTAAGGCTTTTTTCTTACCTGGTTCACCATTGCCTCAGTAACATCTATGTTTGGTTTGTTTTCAAACGGAACTGTCAGAGGGTACAGATTTGTCCAAAATCTACCCCACATATCACCTAGTTTGAAGAGAACAAAGGTTTCATTAATATATTGCAAAGCTAGCATAAATATAGATCCAGTTTTCTATTGTGCACGAGTTAGAGGAATATTCTAGATTTAATGCACTTTCTGCCTCTCCATTTCACTATCTAGTTTCTTATTTGAGAGTTTCAACACTTGTTTCTTCTTCTTTGTCCTCTAAAAGTTCTACCGCTTATTCCATCTCAAATCATGACTCAAAAGTCCAACTTATTAAATATATGGAACATCAAAGCTACTATAGATTGTGTGTGTGTGTGTGTGTGTGTGTGTGTTTACACACACACCCCCCCCCCTATTATTCCCGAAATACTACAAATTCACCTATTAGCAAGTGAAGGTAGAGGATCAGCAAAAGAGAGGAAGATTTTCAACTGGATGGATTGACACAGTGACATGGGGCTTAAGTGTATCAGAGATGATGAGGATGGCACAGGACAGAGCTCAAATCAGCTGTTCAGAGGGTCACTATGAGTCATGCGGGACTTGACAGCACCTAACCGCAACGAACATTGGATTCAGCAGCTTATATAGACTTAGGATTCAGGAACTTCTGCTAACTAGTAACTGAAGTATTGCCTTTGCATTATGGTGTTAACAGAGAATACTGAATAGATCGTGGATTTCCAGAAGGATGAACAAATCTGTTTTGGAAGATGTGTGGCTAGAATGCTCTTTAGAAGTGAGAGTGGTGAGACTTTATCTCACAGCCTTTGAACATATTGTCAGAAGAGGCCAGTTCCTGGAGAAAGACCTCAAGTTTGGTAGCAGGTCAGTGAGAAAGAAGACGACCCTCAGTAAGATGTATTGGCACCATGGCTACAATCATGTGCTTAAGCGTAGCAGTAATGGTGAGAGTGCCTCAGGACCAGGCTGCGTTTGATTCTGTTGCACTTAGGGCCACTGTGAGTTTCAACCAATCTAGTGGCACCTCGCAACAGCAACTCGGTTCATTGTGTTCTTGGGGAGCACAGACAGTTAAGCCTGTTTAGCCATAAGTTTGACCGTTCCAATCCACTCAGATGTGCCTCAGAGGATACCGCAGGTGGCATGAGCCTGAAATGTCACAGGTTTGAAAACTGCAGGGAGCAGATCATTGCACCAAAACTAGGAGGAATCAACTCCCTGGCAGCTAATGCAGTGGTCCACTTAATTAGATGATCTGGGGAAATGGAGTAAAAATACATGTGGAGTCCAATGCTGAAATCCTAAAGGCAAAGCTATTCATTGTACAAGGATGTGCTATGGGACATTTGGCTGAAATACAGTCCGTATGTAAGAGAGCGAAATGTGAGGCAGTAAAGCAGAACGGCATGGCTCCTAAAAGCAACAAGATAAAGGTAAATAATCCAACTGAAAAATGGGCACAGGATATGAACAGACACTTCACCGAAGACGACATTCAGATGGCCAACAAGCACATGAAGAAATGTTCAAAATCCCTAGCTCTGAGAGAGATAGATGCAAATCAAAACAGCTATGAGATATCATCTCACCCCAGTCAGAATAGCAAAATTTAACAGAACAGCAAGCAACAAATGCTGGCGAGGTTGTGGAGAAACTGGAACCCTTACTCACTGTTGGTGGGAGTGTAAAATGTTGCAACCACTGTGGAAGGTGGTATGGCGCTTTCTCAGAAAGTTGCAAATAGAGATACCATTTGACCCAACAATTCCACTACTGGGAGTATACCGCAAAGAGACCAGAACTGACATCCAAGCAGATATATGTACATCCATGTTTATTGTGGCTTTGTTCATAATAGCAAGGAGTTGGAAACAACCTAAGTGCCCATCAATAAACGAATGGATAGAGAAGCTGTGGTATATTCACACAATGAAATACCATGCTGCATTGAAAAACAAGGAACTCATGCAATATTATTCAAAATGGGTGACCCTGAAGGATATTATGCTGAGTGAAGTATCTCAGTCACAAAAGGACAAATACTGCATGGTGCCACTGTTGTAAAGCAGGACTGACATCAGGGTTGGGGGAGACTGAGAAAGATGGGTTCAATAATGTATACTGCATTGAAACAGATGAGGGAGAAAACTGTTTAAAAGGGATATGTGATTAGGTATTTTTGTCATGACAGGAGTCCAGAGCTAAGGCTGCATAGTGGAGTGGCCCTCAGGGGATGGATTGTAAAACAATGAAAGAATTTTACTTTTCCAAAAGAAGAGTGTACTGGGGCAGGGTTGGGAGGGGAGAAGAGTGCAACAATGAATAAATGGAAATCCAAAGTCTTTGTAAATTTTTGCTGAAATTAATAATTTTTTTTAAAAAATGCAAAAAAACAACTGCGTGGGCTGAATCAGCAGACATACTGTCTAGAACAAAAGCAGTCATGGCACCATTTTCCTCTACGTTGGTCAGACCTCAAGGTACCACAAGGTAGACTGATGCAGTGATTGTGACAGTGAACTTGAACATATCAGAGAGGGTGAGGGTGAAGCAGGATAGGGGAAGGTTCGCATCTCTTATTCTTAGGGTCACAGTGAGTCCAGGTCGACTTGATGGCACCTAACAACATCAACCACAATAATCAATTCTTCTACCTTAGAAAGAAGGAAGAGCCTCATCAGGGCAGACATGTTCAAGCGGAAACTGAATTCTTGAATACAGCTAGTAAGAGAAGACTGTACACATTCTTCATCTAGGTCTCTAGCTGACAGTTGGCTATGGAGAATGAGCTACAAACAGCTTAGTTTAACAGCAGTAAGAATGCTATTGTATGCATGTATTGTATCAGTAACATTAATGTTCTTAAGTCTCAGCTGCTGGAGCAGGGAAGGGGCAGATGGGAAAGGAGGACGACTCAGCTAAGAGGTTCTCCAGGTCTTGGACGGTCTCCAGGCACTCAATTGCAGGATCCAAAGACCTTGACCCTTGTTTCTCCTTTCTTCCTTATTAAGAAGGCCTCATCCATTACTCAAATGATTCCAAGACAGGTACCCTTTGGCAAGAGTAGCAAGTACAGTCGGTCTAAAGGGAACTTTGCAAACTTCCAGTCTCGCTGCACCTCCGCTGTGGGCAAGCGTCCCTCTCTCTCGTGCCTACTTCCTCCTCTCTATGCTTCTCTCTTCTGACAGTATCATCCCAAAACCTCGAGTTCCATCCTGGAGCTCAGACAACTCAAAGTAGTACAAACTATTGCCCTCCATTTTCACTCATATGTAGACGTGGAATTATTAGTTATCATTGGTAATCTTACCCTCTGGGTTGTGCTCAACATAATCTTTAAGTATGAAATGACAATATACAATCGAAGGTGATTTCAAATAACCCTCGACCTGGACTCACTATCTTGCGGTACCTTGAGGTCTGACCAACGTAGAGGAAAATGGTGCCATGACTGCTTTTGTTCTAGACAGTATGTCTGCTGATTCGGCCCATGTAGTTGCTTTTTTTTTTTCCCCCATTTTCAAGGTGAGGAAAGCTTTTTCAAAATGTGGTTTCTAGCCTTTCACGAACAGCTTCTGTGTCACAGACTTTCCTAAAAGTGTTTTGTTTTTGGGTCTTACTCCAAAAGACAATTGTATTGGTGTAAACAACCAAGAGCCAAGTTCTCAGAGAATCCCCCCGGGCTGCTTACCCAGCAGATGGGCAGGAAGGCATCCAGTTGGACTGAGTCGATTGGGATAAGCTTCCATCAACTTTCTCCTCACATAGGCATGCAGATGTTCATATAAGGGCTTAATCTGAAATGTCCAGAAGGACCATTTAAGGCCAAGTGTGCAATTCCATTGTCTACCCCCAGATCCGCAACTCTAGAAATAAAGGCTCCTTCGAACAATTAAAACTTCCCTAAAGAGTGAGGGAAACATTTCTTCTCACAGATATTCTGGGACACTCACGAACACACCTTGTTCTCAAGTAGTTACTTCAGAAAGGAAACAAGCTGACCAGAGGAAGCCAAGGGCCCCAAAAGAAAGCAATTTCAAGAATAATAATTCATCTTATGAAGCTGTCTATTTCCTTAGAAAAAAAATTGTATAATATAAATATTTTTTTAAAAATCTAATTATATGAAGTATAATGTCAGTCATTTTGACAATAGCAACTTGAAAGATAGGACTAACAATTTAGGGGGCAGTGAGTTAATGCTAGTAAGTGTGAAACAGGTTGGGAAAGGAGGGTGAAAATGTTGCACAACTCTAAGAACGGGGTGTCACTGAAAGGTACGTGTAGAAACTGTTAACAACATGGCTCTGGTGGTGTCATGTGTACGTAAGGTGTTAGGATACTACCCAGAAAGATCAGCTGTACTGCAGGGATGGACCATTTCTGCCCATAAAGATTTACAGCCTCGGAAGCCCACTGAAGGCACTCCGTGAGTCAGAATTGATTCCATGACTGAGTTTGGTTTCATTGATGGTTGTGATAGAGTAGCCAGTTTGAAGAGACTGAGACAAGGGAACTAGTTAGGGGTGAAAATGAAGAAAGAGGGAGACACTGGGAAGTAAATACTGCTCTTCCTACAGCTCTCCCTTCCCCAGGACGGCTGCCGTAGACAAAGGCTCAGGAGATAATGGTGCCAGTTGTCCTGAGAAAGGAAGCAAAGCCTGTGGTTCTGGCAGCGAAGGAGACAGGGCTAACTCCAGGTTGAATCTGATAGGCTTTCTATGGCTGATGGCTGATCAGTTGCTCGAGACAGGACATAGGTAGAGACAGAAAGACCAGCTGTGAAAGGAACTGATGCTCTTTGAAGCTTGCCCTGTTTACGAAAATGCCTTCAGAGCTCTGACGGCTCTTCAGGGCTGAGAGATGGCAGAGCAGTGTGTGTGGAACCAGTTGGGGTTCCTCCTGTCACTGTCCCACCCCATCACTGTGGTCAATGCCCAGGTTACCTGCTGAAACGTTTCCTCCACATCTTGCATCAGCTGGGTGCGGCTATAGTCCTCTGTCTCATAGTCTCCTCTCCAGTAATCCCCGTAGTCCTCATAGCCTGAAAAGAAGCAGGGCGACATGAAGAGGTTAAGAGGAAGCCCAGTCCACATCAATTTGTTTTAGTGAGAAGTGGAGGAAATCCGTAAGTTTTAGCGTATTTTTTATTGCCCTTATTAAAAACATCGACTCCATGGGAGGCAAGCTTATAAAGACCCTAACTGATAATATCTGCTGAAGGAGCCCTGGTGGCACAACAGTTAAGCACTCAGCTGTTAATCAGAAGGTTGGCAGTTCGAACCCACCCAGCAATTCCTTGGGCACGAGACCTGGTGGTCATTTCCCGTTAGGATCACAGTCTGGGAAACCTGACATGGCAGATATATTGAGTTCCAGCAACAACAGTGTCTCTACAATTCCTATATGATGGAAACCCTACAAAGGTATTAGAATCATAACCCCCAGTGGGCAGAGTGATTCCAGGGTTTGTGCTCTAATCAGAAAGTTAGTGTTTCAAGGTCCCTCAGCAGTGCTGGAGGAAAAAGTGCCTGGCCAACATGTTTCTGTAAAATTATGGCCAAGAAAACCACTTTTTCTTTGAATCAACCTGGCAGTGAGTAGGTTTGATAGGACGAGACGCACTCTTGTTCCTTAACCCCTGGACTCTGCTCTCTTGCTAGGTCGGTTTGCACCATCAACTTTAAAACACATGACTTGATATCTCAGTCAGTTGATTTGCATTTTGCTGGGTGCCTTACACTTTTAGATCCGACCCAACTTGAGGGGGAGCTTGCCACCAGACACTTGTTTTGGTTTGCAAAGTGTATGCAAATTAAACACACGTAGTATTTTAGCAAAGCACATCCTGAGGGGCTTCTTTCAGTGTTTCTCAGTCGGGAAATGTGAGCTTGTGTGCTGGGGTCTCAGCAAAGCAGGTTTGCAAATGCATTTTAAGTGATTTTTATTTTTACAGGTACACTGACAGTGGAGAGAAAGATTTGATTGGAAAGATATGCAGGATATTGTTATTTGTTTCATGGTTGACCAGCTTGTCTATAACTTGAGTGTATGAGGTGAAGGGACAGTGGAAGAAATTTAGAAAGAGCAGATGAGAAAGTCTGCCCTCCTCAGCTCCAGGAGGCCAGGAATCAGTCAGGGTTGATAATAATGTTAAGACTTCAGTTCATTATTCAGCAGGAGAACAGGAGCATACGGTGAGCCCACTGCAGGTGAATCATGTCTCACTCAAGTGATTTAAGGGAAAACAAAGAAAAAGAGTCACAACTCCACGTGCCACCATGCCATTTCTGAATCATAGGAGGTAACTCTATAGGTCAGAATAGAACTGCTCTGTAGTGTCTTCAAGGCTTCACAGAAGCAGGCTGCCACATCTTTCTTCCCCGGAGAGGCTGGTGGGTTCGAACTGACATCTTTTGGTTAGCAACCAAGCCCTTGTAACCGTATCACCGCCAGGGCTCCTATACTTACACCTTCCAAAAAGAATTCTTTTGGAGCCTATAAAAATCAGTTTTTCTTTCTGAGACAGTACACTGAGATAGGCGCCCAGATGGCCTCTGAGGCTTATCTGTGGCCAGGTGATGGGCGAAGGCGCCTCCTTCGTATCATTTCTCAGTCATAGGACTCATTTAACCTCTCAACTCCCTCGACATCCTCAGGGGCCTGAGCAGTGCCTGGATTCCTGGGCAGTTGCTTCTGTTAAGCTCCTGTAGTAGACTTCCACTCTTGAGATCTGTCAACTCTGGAATGTCCCGGTGCCTTTTCCCATTTTCCAGTGGCTCGCTCCTGGGCTTAGGTGTCTGACTTACTCAGCAGATAGGTTTTTACTTTAGGGGTAGCTTTGTCAAAGGGCATGCCAAAGAGAACCAGTCCTGTGACCCATTGAGAGCTTCAAGACCTCCAAACACACAAATCCCAAAGCCAGTGCTGTCGAGCACATCAGATTCATGGTGACTCCAGGTATCACCGAGTGTAACTGCTCCATGGGCTTCTGGCTGGAATCTTTACGGAAGCAGATTGCCAGGTCTTTCTTCCACAGTGCCACTTGGCAGGTTCAAACTGGTAACATTTTGATTAGTGACAGATGTGCAAGCCCCTCATGGACCAATTAGGATCCCTGCAGACCAGCAGACTTACCGTTTCCTCTTGCCATCTCATTTTTCAGGTCCACATACTCTTCATATAACGGCCTCAGCTGCCTGCCGACCTCACGTCTCCAGCCTTCCCAAGCCCAGAGCCTCTGGTCATAGTCTGTGCTATTTTCCATAATGCGATCCAGACCTGTGATTGCAAAGCTCCCATGAGCACCATTAAAATAAACATGCACTTGTGGGATTTTTATTTGCAAACGATCATGTAAACGTCAAAGTGTGTGGAGTGTAAGATTGGCAGAGAGCAAGGCCCAAAGTTATTAAAAGACATCGCCTTGCTTGTTCCTTTCTTCTCCCGTGTGGTAGCTCCAACATGTCTGCAGAGTCTCTCCAGTCCTTGAAATGATCATTAACTGAACACAATTCCTTGAATGTGACAAAACTTACAATGAGATTTTGTGAGTAACTTTTAAATAAAAGTATCTAAGTGCTGAAATACTTGGAATCTTACCACTTTTGCATTATCTATCCATGATAGAATTTTATATAACTTGAGAGAGGAAAAAAATGGGTACATTTCATAATCACTTATGCAAAATCAATCCTGGAGCCAGAGGCCAATTCTCACCCTCCATGTTAGACACTTGGGTTTAATTCCGGATGAATGCACCTTAGGTACAACCGCCTCTCGTCTGTCAGTGGAGGTTTGCATAAGGCTCTGATGCTGAACAGACTTCAACAGAGCTTCCGGATTAAGATGGACCAGGGGAGAAAATGACCTGGCAAAGTTCCTTCTAGAAACCAGCCAGTGAAAGTTCTATGGATCAGTCCACAGCTGATCGGGAGCAGGGGGTGGGGGTGGGGGAGGGATAAGATGGGGCAGTGCTTCCTTTCCTAATGCAAGGACTCCCCAAGAGTGGAAGGCCAACTTGATGGCAGCTGACAACAACAGAAGTAGCAACTCAAAACTAATAGCCTACCTGGTTCAAGCAGTAAGCACTCCTGTGGGTTGTCCGGATTGCAAACCCGTCCAGTACTGTAGATGGTACTCATTGTGTTTAGAATTGTGTCCAACTGCAAATGGAAGGTAATAAGCAATGTAACAATGCGGGGAGAAAACGCTAGAGAGTATGATAATGCAAGAGAGCTCTTCACCATGTGGTTTTTGTTTTTTGTTGGTTTTTTTTAATATTAATGAACATTTACAGAGATTTTGGATTTCCATTCATTCATTGTTATACTTTTCTCCCTGCTCACCCCTCTCCTCTCCCCCCCTCCAGTCCACTCCTCTCCTTGAAAAGTAAAAGAAAAATTCCTTCATTGGTATACAATCCTCTCCCCCACCCCTCGCCTGGGTACACTCCACTAGGCAACCTTCATTCTGGACTCTTACCATAACCATAATACCCAATCACGTATCGCTTTTCAGCTGTTCTCTCCCTCATCTGTTTCAATGCAGTATACATAATTTATCCAATTTTTCTCAGTTTCACCCCAACCCTGATGTCAGTCTCATTCTACAACAGTGGCACCATGCAGTATTTGTCCTTTTGTGACTGAGATACTTCACTCAGCATAATATCCTCCAGGGTCACCCATTTTGAATAATATTGCATGAGGCCTCCATACACTCCTGTATGCAAAGAGGAATGTCTCCATTGTTCCATTTCACCTGCTGTCCCCTCTCCCCAGAAGGCAAAAGTAAGTGGAATTGAGTCGCTCAATAGTGGGAGGGTCTGTCCCTTCCTTAAAGGGATCCACACTTGGAGCTGCTGACTTGTGAAGGGGTGATCCAACCATCCTTGACTTGGCGCTGTTGCAAGAGTCAGTAGGAGGTGGTGTTTCAGAACCAGAGGGGGAAGGTGTTGGATAACAAACGTATAAGGTTTCTCAGGGTGGTACAATCAACATTCTGAACCAGATAATGGTTTAGGCTGGGAGGCTTTCTGTGCACTGTAGGATGTTTAGCAGTGTGTCTATTTGCTAGAGTGGCAATCACACCCAGAACCACTGGCCTCAATTCAGTCTGTTCTCCAGGAAGCCTGGTCTTCAGGAAGATGACCTGCATAGGGTAGCCATGCCTGGCACCATCTCTGTTCAAGTCCCTGTCCTACACAGTTTAGAGAATAGATTTTATGGTCACCCTGCAATCCTGAAGGCATGCGGTTCGAATCCACCTATTGCTCCTGGGGAGAAGGATGGGCAGTCTCCTCCTGTGTGATTAACTGCCTCTGAAAACCCACCAGAGAGTCAGCTATGAGTCAGTTCCAACTTAGTGGTACTCAACAACAACCACCACCACCTAGACACAGGATTCCTGTTTGAAGTCATTGTTAGTATAATCTATGCAGATAAGGGAAGTAGCCGTGAGTCATAGGAATATTCACTATTTTGCAAATATTTCAATTCTGGCTTCAGTGACCAAATGCCCACAAACATACCCGTTGGCTCTTGTCTGGTGACAGTACCGCTGACCCGCTCTGCTGAAGGACCTGCAGTTGAAGCTTGATAGAGGGATCTGAAATCTCATTTACTGGGAAATTTTTGGCAACCTTGGACTGTTCTTCATAAAAGGAAGACCATTTGGCCCCTGCTTCGTTCTGTAACAACAACAAAGGAAATAAAATCAAGATCAGAGTGGTGCTGTCTGAACAGATAGGACCCAAGATATAGCCCAAGAGCCATCTGGTGGAACAGCAAATATTTCCTGAGTGGTTTAATCCTCTCCTTTGCTGAAGTCAAGGCTTGGGTTAAGGGTGAGAGACCTCTCTTGGTCACCCTCTCTTTCTGGCCTTTTGCCTAGCTCACCCACCACAGTCCTGTCCTCAGAGCTGAGACACACTGTGAGGTTCTGGAATGTGTGTTCTTAGTTCTATGCAGGCTGGGGGGGAGGTGTTGGGGGTGGTCAAGGACTCAATCATCAATGCTGTAAGGCAAGAACAAAACTGTGATGATGGGCCCATGACCAAGGAGATCCTTCACAGGACACTCTGAGGTGCCTCGACCTAGCCCAGAGATGCTGATCTTCAATTACAATTCCGAACAGCAAAGGAGACCAAAAGGGTGTGATATGATAGAAATGGGGTGTGGAAGGGACAGCAATGGTGGTGAAACCAGAGAAGCAGTCCTCCCCCATTGCCAAACACCCCACCTTTCAGGAACTCTAGTTCCAGCTGCCATGGAGTTGATTCCTTGGTGTCCCTTGGTGACAGAACTGATGAGTGCTCAACTACTAGCCAAAAGGTTGGCAGTTTGAACCCGCCCAGAGATGCAGTGGAATGCCTGCCTAGCGACACATGGGGCTTCCATGAGTGTCAGTGAAGCTCGTTTTTGTTCCTTTTGGATGTCTCAGAACTCAAAGCAACCCTTTGTCTGAGAGGACAAAACTCTTCCGGGGCCTGTGTCAGCAGCCTCTCAGTGGTCGCCAAGTTTGACCCCTTTGGGCAGGCACTGTGCTGACCCGTGTCTTTGAGGGGCCTCTTCTTTTTCCCTGACCCTCTACTTTACTGAGCACCATGTCCTTCTCTAGGGACAGGCCCCTGGAGTTAGTGCTTCCAGTTCACAAATGAGGAAACTAAGGCACAAAGCTTGCTCTGTGACCTAGGTAGTAATTGGAAGAGCAAAGGTGTCAACTCAGATGTGTTTGCCTCCAAAGCTAATGCTCTAACCATTGCCCCGAGGGTGACGCCTGCTAGGCTTCTTCCTCAGAGGCCTGAGTGGAGAGTGACACAGGAACCGATCTCCAGCAGCGCACAGTCCCCTGCACAGTGCACGGCACTCTCAATTCCTGCCCCTCACCCAACCTAGCGTGACTTACCGTCAAACTTCGATAGCAGATTATAGGAATAGTCTCATTCGCCTCCACCTCTGGAAACAACTCAGAATCCCCCAAAGCCCGCGGTCTCAGAACGCTTTTTTGATTAGACAGGATGTGGGAATGTTGAAGCAGGACATCAGATTGGATCTGATTTCTCACTACTGTCCTCCATGTGTTGCACTTCAGCTCAGAGAAATTCCTTTATGTTGCCTTGCCTTCTGGTCCCTGGGAACATACTATTCATTCCCAGGCCACCCTTTTTAATCTTATTTACAGTATATCCTCTATCTCTACCCTCAGGCTCCCAAGGCCAAATGAAACAGATGGCTTTAACAGTTGTGCGGAGGATCAAAGCTGATTTATACATACCAATCAGATCATTTAGCCTTTGGTGGGTAGCTATATATTAATACATAGCATTTTTTGGACCAGAATGACGGCTAAAATGAATGTACACACAGCTGTTTCCAGAGGCCCCAGACTCCAAGGAACAATTATTGAGAAACCAAGCACCTCATGATGGCTCTGTGCAAAGGCAAAAGTGCAGCAACTCAAACGACACAAGTTTCTGCAGCCATGGATGGAGGGCTTGGGCAGGACACAGATGGTCCAGGACAACTTACCAGGAATCCACTCTCTGACCCTGCCTGGAGCCATTGCTGTCATTGCTGGGTGACAGAGCTGAATTCACCCGGAGGGTGTTTGGTTTTCACTGCAATCTATACAGAAGCAAAATTGCCAAGTGTTTCTGCTATAGAGCCTATGGGGTGAGTTTGAAACACCAACCTTTTGCTTAGTAACCAAGCACTTAACCGTTGCCCTGCCAGTGGACACCGCCTTCTCATCCCATTTGACAGCCTTCTAATTTCAAAGACTCGAGAATCCGGGTCTTTCAAGAACATACTCTGTTCTTCTGGCCCCCTAACTCCATACATGTTTTAAAGTCTCTGGACCATGCAAACTGGCTGCTAGCTGAAAGGCTGGAGTTTTGAGTCTGTCAAGGGGAGCATGGGAACAAAGGCCTGGCCATCTCCTGAAAATCTGAAATGCTGTGGTGCAGCTGTGACCACCCCACATCGTGCCAGTGTGTTTAGTAATTAGTAATAAAATTTGGATGCAACTGGACATATTATTATTTTGGGCTGCTCAAATTCAGTGTCCCCAAGACTATGAGACTGAAGTGATAACTGACAAAGGAAAACTAGTACAATCAGGGCATCCAAGGCACGTGAATCATGTTGAGTTTACTCTGTATCTCCTGGGATGTAATGTATCCATTTACATTTGTTAGTTGTTGAGAAATTTGTGCACCTTATATTTCAAGAGACAAAGAAAGGGGAAATGCCTTTGCCCAGAGTGTTCGAGTCGTCTCTGCGGAGTGAGAGGTGCATCTGGTTTCCTACCTCCATTGCACTTGAGGGGGTTCTTAGGTGGTGCAAACAGTGAGATGAAAGGTTGCAGGTTTGAGTTCAGTCTCAAGTGCCTCAAAAGAAAGCCCTGCCTATCACCGCCCCCTCCAAAAAAAAGCATCCATTGAAAAATGGGACATGGTTCTACTGTGACGCACGGGGGTTGCCAGGAGGAGATGCCAACTCAACAACTGGCTTCTTAAGGTTATTTCCTCACAACTTGATATAATAATAGTTTTCATTTGAGGTCAAGTCCATGGATGATAAACCTAACACTCTGAAAGTTAAACTCATTGCCATCAGCTCGAACCCACTCAGAGCTGACCCTTCATTGGGTTCCTGAGGCTGCAAACTGTAGGAGAGGGGTGTGCTCATCTTTCTCCCTTGCTTTCTCTCCTGCTGGTGTTTTCCAGCTACCAGAGAAGCTTGACCTTTGGCTTATTCGTAGCACAGTTCCCTGTGGACCACACCAGCAGAACAGACGATTTGGGAGCAGCATCCTTCTCTCAGTAGTGACAACCTGATCGTGTTCTTATGAGGCTCTTTCAAGTCAGCTCCAACTGTTGCGTGAGAACATATTACTGATATACCTTACTCACTCTGATTCCTGTGTGTTCTATCGTGGAAGCTATGGGAATGCCACCAGCAGTTCATATACCAGCAGAGTTATCTGTGGCAGATGATAGGTTTCACAGGAACTTAGAGACTAAGAGAATAAGTAACCTAAATGCCATGAATGGGGGGGGAGGACAAGCTTTGGGGACCTTCATTTGCTAAGATGGGATGTCTTGGGATAGCTGATGTGGCAGGACGCAAAATGAGAAGAAACACACATCCCCTCCTGTAGCTCTATTCTTAGACTAATAGAAAGTAAGATCTACTCTTAGAGTAATAGAAAGTAAGAGGTAACCCAAACCCTCAGTGGTATAGTGTTTGCAGTTCACATGCCCAAGTTGCCAGGCAGCCCTACAGCCCCTGGCGGCACTTGCTTGTGACTCCAGAGGTGGTTTCTGCTGGGCTGGGCCAACTACCCATGTGGTCCCCATTCTTTAGCTGGTTTCCCTAGGCACACATGAATGGCAAGGGCAGAGACGCAAGGGACAAGTGCCGACATTCAGGTCCCCACACGAGCAAGGTGCATGGTGAAAGATAGGCACCACTTGCCGTACTTCCCCGACCACATCTAAGTGTTTGCTTCACTACTTATAAAAAAAAACCACAACAAATCCAGTAGCAGTTTTCAGTGTCTCACATCTTTAGATTGAAGAATGGCCCAGTTCTACAAGTCTCAGCAGTCAGATCGCTGACATGTAAATGACATTTCCTTAAGTTCATGGTATCTATCACTTTGGAGCCGGCAGATGCCTTTCCTTCCTAGGATGAAGCGATTCCGCATGAGTCCTCCTGACATCCGACCCCGTGGCTCATCTCAGATGCTTCCACAGGCGGGATTTTCTCTCAGGCTCTGGCCCTTCTCTCCCGAGCCACTCTGGTCTCCTCAATCATTTTACTTGCTCTTTTGGGAAAACAAGGCTCTGCTTCCAAAAGTATTCTTTTAAACATGACTATCAGCATGGCGTTCCTATATGCGTGGGATAACATCCTCTGTTTTCTTTCCAGAACTTTCTGGATGATTCTAGCCATTGTGATCTGAAAACTTACTAAGCTGAAGCCTTCAGGGGACAACCTTGAATAATTTTTAGGCCTTTTCCTGAGTCAAAAGTGATTTTGGGGGGCGGGACAGAAGGTGATTTCTGAAGGCTCACCAGCACTCAGGAATTGTGTGTGTGTGTGTGTGTGTGTGTGTGTGAAGAAATAAATAACATGCTTGATATATATCAAGAGAAGCTAATCCTTGGAAAATGACATCATGCTGGAAAAGGTGGAGGGTCAGAGAAAGAGAGGAAGACCCCCGACAAGATGGATTGACATGGTGTCTACAGCAATGGGCTCGAGTGTATCAGAAATGCTGAGGATGATACAGGATAGGGCAGGGTTCAAGTCCATTTGTTCAAAGGATTGCTGTTAAATTGACTGCTTGGCACCTGACAACAACTACATATACCCTGGGTTTTTCGGAGGCGTTCAAGTGTATGTCCTTTTATTCTCTATCAAACTCATTCCCTTCGAGTTGGAACTGCCTCAGAACCAACTCCCCCATTGGGTATCCAGAACCATAAATGGCACAGAGGGAGGCTGAGTAATCTCACCCCTCACCCCTATGTTTGTGTGTGTACGTATTAGTGATCTCCCAAAAACCCACTGTGTGGCATGGCTTTCAGATTTTGCTAAACGTCTTCCGGGTAATCAAGGTATCAAAACAAAAAATATTAGAAACCCTGAAAGGGACCTTGAAAAGCTGAATGGCGATCTCAGGTGCCTTACTGATTTTCAGCTTCCTGTTATTATTTGCCGTCAAGTCAATTACAGAAACTCCCAGAGACCCCCAGGTACGCAGAGTAGAACTGCTCCACAGGGTTTCTAAGGCTGAATGTGACTTCTCAAGAAACAGTTCACCAGGCCTTTCTTCAACGGTGCCCCTGAGGAAGTTTAAGCTAATACTATTTTTTTTTTCTTTTTAAGACAGGATTTTTTTGTTTTGTTTGTTTCTTCTTTCTGGTTTGGATGACTTCCCTCCCATGCCCCTATCCCCCTCAGTTTATAGCTAAACAATAGAGAGAATACTGTGTACTTTCTTTGAAAAATCCATATAATCTTTTTTTCCCCTATCATTTACTTTTTTACGTGCTTTGCAAGCATGTTATTTATGTCTTTTTTTTTTTAACTCTTCTCTCCTTATTGTCTCTGTTAACCCTCTAGGTTTGATTCTTTCTGTGTATAGACTGTCACTTGGGTTGTTTCCTATTTACTGTCTTACAGCGAGTCGTTGACTGAAATAGGCAAGAGAGTGAATTACGTAGCAAGTTCTTTTCTGTGTCCAAGAAGTTAATCCAGACCTAACCCCAAAGATGATGAGACATTTGCTCACCAGAGAATCTCATTAAAATACACTTCGGTGTAGTCAGTCAGTCAGTTTGTATCTTAGGAGAATGGATATTGGCCAGGAAGGAAATTTACTGGAAATTTCCTCATCTCTGTGTAGACAAGGTTTGCTGTCACTGTCCAGAGACAAAAGTACATATTTCTCAGTTTCTCCTGCTGGGCTCCTTGCTGCATGCAGGCCAAGGGACAGAGAGGAGAAAGAACAGATGACTGTTTTTGCACTGGACGTAATGTACAGATGATTTAAAGTATGTGAGAGGGGGTGTGCAGGTTCTAGGCAAGTGCCATTCCATTTTACATAAGGGACTTGACCATCTGGGATTTTAGAATCTGAGAGTGGAAGCTCGGGTGCCTGGAACCACAGCCCCATGGATACCATAGCTTATTCCTATTAGCATATTTTAATCACTGGGGGCAGCATGGTTACCATTGTAGAATTTCCCCCTTCTCTGTAGAAAATCCAGCTGGATTCCTGCCCAGGGCACCTTGTACACAGCCACTACCCATGGTGGAGACTTGCATATTACCGTGCTGCTGCACAAGGTATGTGGTTCGAATCCACCAGCCGCTCTGCAGGAGAAAGATGAGCCGTCTCCTCCCTTGTGATTCACTGCCTCTGAAAGGCCACCGGAGGGTCAGCTATGGATTGCTTCCAACTCTGTGGTCGACAGCAACAACATGATGCTGGACAGACTTCAGCAGTTTCCAAACTAAGATGGATGAGGAAGAAAAGCCTGGCAGTCTACTTCCAAAAGGCTTTGGGGGAAAACCCTGTGGGTCCCGATAGCCTGAGACACCCCATGAGTTAGGTTACCCATTGGACAGCAGCTTTGGGGAACAACAATTAGGAGCGTTACCTTCACTTTTCAATTGAGAAAAAGCACGACTGGAGGGAGTTAAGACACTTGGCCACTATCTGGCAGCTTGGAAGAGTCAGAGTTGGGATGTGAACCCAGGGTGTCTGTCGCCCAGCACCAGACATGTGCACTTGACAGCGCTAAGTGAGCTCACTGGCTTTGCGGGATACCAAGCCTCAGCAGTCGCCTCCTCCTGGGGCCTCTTGTAGCGCCCCCTACAGTGCTGGAAGAGCACTGTCAACACACATGCCCACAGAATAGAAGTTCTAGGCAACCGTGCCTCTGCAATTTGCCTGCCTTCCCTGCTAGGGCCACACAGCCACCCTGGAACTAACTCACCCTTCGCCACTGCTTAAGGAAGGAGAGACAGGCCAGCTTGCTTCTTGCCCTGAACTAGTTGCACTTGTCCGTGAAAGGGTCTGTTCTTTGCTGCAGTCCAGCTGCACTGCGCTGCTGCTCTTTCACGCCTGGCCTGTGCCCTTGACAGTGGGTGCTATTCGGAGGTGGTGGAGCTTGGTGATGGAGAGAGGGTTCCTGCACCCATCCCACTCTGTAACCTGCCTTGTCAGCATCTGGATGGAAAGAATAGCAGAGCGGCTACCTGCCTCCCTGTCACCGTGCTGCCGCTTCCCTTTGGCTGTGCTCACAGAACGGTGATGGTGACAGCCCTGGGGCCGGTTCAGCCTCCACAGCTCCCCTCTGAGACAGATCGTGAGCACTGACCTCTTGGTCACAACTGGAAAAACTCAGGTGCAGAGTTCCTTGACGGGTTCAAGTACACTCAGCTTACAGATGATGGAGCCACAATTTGGACATAGGGTGTCCGGCTCCAGATCTCTCCGGCGCAATGTGAATACACCCTCCTTCGCTGCCACCCTGCATAACTCGGCTAATGCCCAACGGTCACCTCCAGCCAACACCACGTCTAAACGGAGTAAGAGTCACAATGAAGGCAAGAGAAGAGCCTATCACCATGGCAACTCAAGACCGGCAGCATCTGGCTTTCCCTGACCTTTAGGGGGGGAAAAAGAAACTTCCTCTTGGAGGGTTTTGGATGAGACAGCAGGTCTCAAACTTGATTTGTCTAGTGAAGAGGAGGATAGGATTTAAGCATGCAACCCACTAATCATTTGAGGGGGGGGGAAGAATCACGAACAACACTTTTTTAAAGAATGTGCCACCCATGTGCCACACACACCGAAACAATCCTCGGAAGTAGTTGTTTGACTCTCCGCCCCTCAAATATAGGAAAAGGCTTCAGGGGGTCTGAGAGAAGAAAGTCCTGGCTCAGACAAAGCCTTTTGCTCTCCCTAGGCAGGCTGAAATTGGTCAGAAGGAGTTTTAAGTATAGCGATCCTGGGACCTTGGGAAGCCCCTCCAAGCTCCACGACCATGAGGAGCAAGCTGGTTTCCTAAGCCCCCAGCAGCATCTTGCGCTTAATGTCTTGTTTCTAGAGAAGATCCCTATTGATACTGGATGCTCAGGGGAATTATTAACTCAATAACTGATGGCATCCCCAGGAAACAGGTTGAAAGCCTGCTTCTGATGAGAGTTAGGACAGCGACCCTAGCGAGTCTGTTCAGTGGTGCCCAGGGCTCAGCACTGAGACCAGTGGCTTCATCTGTAACAGCAGCCCCAGTGAGCCCCAAAGCCAACCCCGTCTGCACCTGGCACACCACAACAGGAGGTACCGAAGCAAGCATCCAACCCCATAACTAAGAGCACTTCTCTTTGAGTTTCCTTTTTTAGTTTTATGAGTCCACTCTTGAAGAAGAGACAAACACCCTAGTAAGCCCCGCGGGAACTCACCATCTTCTGAGCATTCTCGTCAGTGATGTTGGTGTTATAATCCCAAGAAGCGAGTGAGCTCTGATAAGACAGGTCTTCGGCTTGTTGGTTAAATTGCTCCAGAAAGGCCTTGGCCTGCTCTTCAGTGGTGGGCTGAGCGGCAGCTACGGCCACAAGGCTGAGAAGGAGCCAGCCAGAGCCTGACATCTTCCCCCGGCGCCCAGAGCCCAGCCACTGAGCCACTCTCCCTGCAGTCAGAGGTCCTCACGAGTTGTTCTCTCGTCAGCCTTTGAACTTGGGTTGGGCACTGAGCAGGGGAGACAAGGAGGGGGAGAGAAGAAGAGAGAGAGAGGGGGGGGGGGAAAAAGGACACAGTCAACAATCTGCTGAACTTCTATAGAGTTCATTCTGGGGAGAACAGATACACAAACAGATTTGAGAATGGGTTGTGGGTGTGTTGAGGTTTTTTTTGCAAAGCAAATAAACAAATGTTATTCATTAATCCTAGAAAACCCATAACTCTCCCAGCACTTTATGACCAACTCAAAACTTTTATATATGGTTAATCTGTTACTAAGAAGCTGTTAAAGATCCCCTGAAGCTGCAGTGATTTTTACGGTGACAAAAGAGGCCTATAATTAGGGATCACTAGTAATCCCTTCGCATATGTGTTTTTCCAGACAGCCCATTGATTGCTATCTTCTCCTTTCTCTTTCTTTCAGGCCCATGTTCACAGCAAAATCGAACTGGGTGGTAGTTTTCCCTCCTAAGTAAACTGCTGGGCCCTTGTCCCAATGGGATTCATTTCTTTTTATTCTGATAAGCTTTCATTCTCCTGTCCATTTGGTTATTTTTTTTTTAAAAAAAAACCCTCCCGCCTGGCTTTGGCCATCTTCCGAAGGTTCGTCTTCCCTCTTCAGATGGCCTTGACACGTTGGCTCTGGGACTGACTCTACCTCCTTCCCCATTTCCTTACCTCTTCAAGAATCAGTTGTGGTCACAAGGAAGCAAGAGCGATGCCACATATTGACACGGAACCCACAGAGTGTCCAGGTGCCATTCTGGCCACTCTTAGCCCTGCGATTATGAACACATGGCATGTGGAGGGTGTTCACTAGTCACTGATTGCATTGTGGGATCTGGCTTGATACTCTCATTTCTAGGATGTCGCTATGAACATCACGGTTAAAAGAGAGGAGCCCCATTAAATGGTCAGACTTCCCAGCCTCTGTGACTGGAACTGTGAAGCCTTCACAGAGGGGAACATTTCTTCACCCAGACAAACAAGTCTCCCAAATTCAGGTGACATGACAGTGACCAGTTGCCATCCAATCAGTTCCAACTCCTGGTGACCCTCCTGTGTGCAGAGCTGGACTGTGCTCCGTACAATCTTAAAGGCAAGAATGCCAGGACTTTCTTATGAGGTACTTCTGAGTGTGTTCAAACTGTCAACCGTTTAGTAAAGTGCACCATGCAGGGACTCCATGAAACATCAGTAGCCAAAGATCAGTTATAAAAGCTCCACTGCTGCCTATTAGGGAGCTCTGGTGGCCTAGTGGTAAGAAGCTGCGATGCAATCCCAAAGGTATGCCATTCAAATCCACCAGCCTGCTCTGAAGGAGGTGGTTGGGCAATTTTCTCCTGTGCGATTAAAGGCCTCAGAAAATCTGCTGGAGGGTCAGCAGGGGGTCTGTTCTGACTCTGACAACAACAACTTCCACTTGTTCCACAAGTGCCAGTATCATTTAGAATTGGGGGGGAGGGGAGACCAACTCTGTTGCAAGATAGCAACAAAACAAACATTGTTCAAAATGATTAGGCAAATCTTATGGCCATTTACAGACTCTAAGACAGAGGCTCAGAGAGGTTGAAGAAATTGTCCCATCACCAGAACTTGAATCTATGCATGGTTGGATTCTAGGGCATAGACACTGAGGTAGCTTGTAATCAACTGTCTGTCTAAAAGCAACAACTGACGTGGGTAAGGAGCAACCGAAGCATGCCTACCTTTAGTGATGGTGGATGTGGTGTCGTCACATCACAAGAGAAGGGCTCTTTTTCGGCCTGAGTGGAAGGCCTGGAGCCTTTTAAGAAAAAAGAATCTACTAGCAAATTTAAGGCTTAAGGATAAAGAATGGAACAAGAGCGTGAGATGGAAAAGAATATCAGTGGAGACAGACTGGCCCTAGCAAGACTCCGCCCCCCGTTCCAGGAAGCAGAGATCAAAGCCTTGCTAGCTCTTAGGACTGAAGGACCAGAAAGGAGAGGGACAGGTTCTGAACAAAGGCTTGGAATGCTACTTCCAGAGACGCTGAAACCAAGCTCCACAGCCGCTCCCCGAACCAAGTGCTTAGATTTGAGGGGTGGAAGGGGAAGGAAAATGGGTGTCAGCCAAATTCAACTCATTGAGGCAGGAAATTAGATTAACGTGACCAATTTGAATTGGAAAAGACAAGATATGAACTGTGAGAGCCACAGACAGATGGGCAAGGAGCCGGAGATAATAGTGAAGCTGAAAACAAAGGCCAGAGGTCAAGAAGTGGTTGCGGAGGGAAAGAGGCAGGATTGGCTGCAAGCAACCAGCCTGTCCTGGCCACCTGCGTGGCTGTTGACTCTACACCAAAAAATGATGCAGATATTCTGATGGTTACCTGGAGGAGAGTGCTTCACGTCCTTCCCCAGAAGGGAAAGAAGCCTTAAAGACAAAGGAATGGTACCCAGAAAAGTAATCGGCATAAAGGAACAAGCCGACTTTGAGAAAGTGATTCAAATGCAATAGCAGCTCAGAGAGAGACAGAGGGGGCATCTCCTCTCGGAAGCCCATTGGAGAATCAGCTGTGAGTGGGTTCCAACTTGACAGCAATGAGACCAGGATGATGATGGGGGGACAAGCAGGAGAAGGTAAAAGACAAGAGGGGTAAGAAAGAGGTTCTGATTTTCAACAGGGTCAGGAAGAGTGACTTTCCTGAAAGAGACAGTGGAACATTTACTCATGTCACCTGAGAAAACCGTTGTTGTTGTTGTTATGTGCCGTCGAGTCATTTGCGACTCATAGCGACCCTAGGTACAACAGCCCTAAACCCTGCTCTATTCTGTGCCAATCGTACTGCCTCTGACACACCCATCCTGATTACCCCAGTCACTGAATCAATCCATCTCATAGAGGGTCTTCCCCTCCTGCGCCATCCCTCCACCCTCCCAAGCATGATGTCCCTCTCCAAGGACCTGTCCCTCCTTGCAACATGCCCAAAGTATGTCAGACGAAGCCCTAGAATCCTTGCCTCCAAGGAGTTGCTTGGTTTAAACCTCTCCAGGATGAATCTGTTTGTTTTCCTGGCAGTCCATGGTACATTCAGTACTCTTCTCCAGCACCACAGCTCAAAAGCATCAACTCTCCTTCTGTCCTCCCTAGTCATTATCCAATTCTCTGATGCATAACAAGTGATTGCAAAGACCATGGCCTGCATCAGGTGCACCTTAGTCTCCAGAGAGACACTGTTGCTCTTGAGTACTTTAGAGAGGTCCCTAACAGCAGACTTTCCCATCGTAATACGCTTTTGTATTTCCTGACTGCTGGTGTCAAGAGTGTTGACCGTGGAGCCGAGCAAACTGAAGCTGTGAACAATCTCAATTTCTTCACCATCCATCCTGATGGATGGTCCAGTGGTGAGACTAGCAAATGCGAATTTAGGTGTTTTATTTTGTTTTAACAATGTGGTTACCACTTAGAAGAAAAGATCTTCAGTCCGTGAGAGATTTGCTAGGAGTAAGTCACGTCTTGCTGACTTAATTTCCTTTCTGAGAAGAGGAAGTAGAAAAGATGCCTACAGAGAGTGTATCTTCCACTTCCATAAGGAATTTAACAAAATGTCAAGTTTTACAATTAGATAATTAAAAGAACCACAACAATACTGACCTAGGCCAGATACGAGATGGCCCATGTTCAAAAGGACCCAGAATCCTGATCCAGCTAATTGCTATTAGCTGCCACTTCAGGTAAATCCCAATTCATGGTGACTCTGTGTGTGCAAAGTAGAACTGGGCTTCGCAAGGGCTTTCAGGGCTGTGGCCTTCCAGAAGAGGATTGCCAGGCCTATCTTCTGAGGCACCTCTGTGTGGGTTTGAACTGCCAACCTTTTGGCTAGTAGTTGAGGGATTAGCTATTTGGAACTTTACCAGGGACCCTTTATTCAATCCTTTGTTGACAATCATTTTGTAAAAAGGATCCCATGCATTTGGTGGTGTAGTCTAGAACAAGTTTTGCTACAAACCCAAAGTCAGTGAGTGCTAATGGTTTCAATCCATCAGTGGCTTGAAGGGAGATAGATGGCCAGTTTCCTTTTATGATCTGAGCTTTAACTGATGTGAGGGTAGTGAGTTTGAGGTGTATTTTCTTGATATTGAATATACACTAATGAATAAGGGAGCTCTGGTGGCCTAGTGGTAAGAAGCTGTGCTATAATCCCGAAGGCACATGGTTTGAATCCACCAGCTGCCCCATGGGAGATGGAAAATCTCCTCCTGGGCAATTTACTGCCTCTGAAAATGCACTGGAGGTTGGTTCTGACTCAACAGCCCACAGTGATAAATAAGCTAGGAAAACTATCTATACACACACATAATATCCTAGGAGGTGGAGACGGGGGTAAGAAACTCTTTAACAGAAGGATAAAGTAATAAAAAATGAGGACATAGGGAGAGGAAAGAGGTTCCTATAAGAGGATCTTTCTGAAAAGATGGCCTGGGGGCAGACACTTGAGGGAAGAGATGTAGACTTTGGGTCTATCTTGGAGGGAAGTGCTTTTGTGAGAGGGAAGAGCCAGCAAGAAGGTTGTCTGCAGGTCACGTTGGAACCCAGCATGCAAGGGCCAGCAACATGAGTGAAGTCTGAGAGAACGGGGCCAGATCAGGAGGGCCGCAGAGAAAACGGTGGGACTCTGACCTTTATCAAACAAGATGTGAAGACAAGAGAAGAGTTTCAAACAGAGAAATGATCTGATAGACACTTTCAAAGGGTTGCTGCGCTACTGCTTTGAGAACAGACATCAGGAAGTAAAGGTGGAAGTGGGGAGTCCAGTAAGGGAGCTCCTGCAGCAGCCCAGCTGAATGGGTTGAAGAAAAGCGTGCCTTGACTTCTAAGCTCATCTTGAATGGCCAAGAGATTAGATTACTTTAAATTTGGTAATAGATATATACCTTTCACTCCT